CTGTGGGGGGTTTCTTATATTGTGTAGGTGTCTTATATTGTGTCATTTACGGTAGACAACACGCGGCGCAATTACGAAAACAAGCACAACGCACACACACACGTCTCGCACCACAGTGCGTGCCCCCGTTCCTGCTGGTACCTCGATCCTGGACAAAGAAAGTGCTTCTGGAAAGAAATATCCAAACTACGTGCCCTACAAAAGAGCACCCCAACAAACCCCATCAACCTCCACAATAGGTAATCACACCCAGTGAAAATAGTTTCTGCCGCTCAATATGAGCTAAAACGTAAACACTGTCTCAGACCAAGTATTAGGGTCCACGAAGATATCCAAAACCACCTCCCCACAGAATAACACCCCCGGTGGTAGCATTATTCAACGCCAACAACGTTACCACAGGGGAGTGTTATCTTGAGTGAAAAACGCTAGTCACGCCTCGACAAAAAAAAAAAAAATCGAGCCTGTAATCCAGGTACTGACAAAACAAAGGTCCCGTGCTTTCGGATCAACATTTCGGATTCTTACCGCCGAACAGCCTCATCGCAAGGAGTCGGCCGGCCTGAACGGCTGACGGGGTCAGCTCGGGCACGCCCTCGACGGCATCCCCTATGCCGAACACGCCTGCCACGGTAGTCTCCTCGTTGCGGCACACCATCTGCTCTCGTACACCACGCACCCAACCACGCAGCACGAACAAACATCACGATTGAACAGCAGGTCAGCGTTTGCTTGTTTCAACTGATTTTGCAGCGGCGGTTATAGAAACGCCCCGTTAGGTTTTCCTCAGGGTGTGGGGAATGGTCCGTCTGCTGACGAGCACAACACGGCAACGAACAGCCCCTCAAGGAAACTCAACAAACACGTGGGTGATCTGCGGCAAAAACGACATCACGGAGCCCCCGACGCAGCAAGCCTCGACTCTGTCCTGCGAAGCATTAGCGGCCTTGTCCTGCTAAGCGCTAGCAGCCTCTCCGTTTCTGCTTGTCACGACAAACAACCACGCGGTCGACTTCATGTATGCATAGCAGTTTGTTCTTCTCCCTTGACATTGTCGCCTCCATCGCCCGGGACCCTCGGGAGCTGTGCTCTCTACCCCTTTGCTTGCCCCATCACCGAACGGTGCAAATCGCAGCATCACCTTGCCGCTGTTGCTGAGAGCGACCCCTAGCCGCTCCAACCCCAAGCCTTTCGTGTCCGCCATTCTGCCCGTAGCAGCCAGGACAGTGTCGAACTCCTGAAACCGTCGGTTTGTAAAATTTTGCGACTCATTCGGTGGACAGAAACGAGATGATAATAGCGTTCACTATGATGATCACATGCGAAAAAATGCAAGGAAATTTCAAACGGAATAAATCGCGTGCTGAGTGTTGCTCCGTCGAAATATGTGCCTGAAACTGACCAACGAACACATTACCCGAAAAAAGCACCCTTTCCCGACAGCGCACCAACGGTGCCTCAATCAACAAACCCAAAACAACTCTGTTGCGGAGAAGTTCACAACAAACCTTGAACAACGCAAAATGTGATGCATAAAAAAGCGAAGGTACTGCCTCTTCGTAAATTGAACCTGGAAAGTGCACAGGCTCAGCGGGCCTACATTCCGGGGCGCGATTGTCAGAAAAATCGCGAAAATAGGCTAAACTGACAAGAGTCTAGACCGACGGCAAACTCGCTCGCCACCAAGAAGCTACAGTAGCACGTAGAAAAAACTTGCCTCCAACTCAAGAAACGCAGTGAAAAGCGTGTAAATATCGCCTTGAAGTGAGCATCGCACCAGGGGG